GTTCTGTGAGAATGCATTGCTGGAGCACTGCTTAACCTGTTAAGATATAATGACTTTGGAGGGCTTTAGCAATGTGCTATTTTACTTAGCAATGTGCTAATCACGTGCTGTTCTTATCCATTCATTAAAGTTGGTCCCTGTCATGAGCGCTTCTCCTGGCTAATGCTTTACTGAGCTCTCTTAATCTATTCTCCCAGTCCCGGACTAGACAGGAAAGCTAGATTCCTTCCCCCGCAGTCAGGGGCATGCAGCGGCTCTGAGGAGGGTGGTGAGACTCTTAAGTCCCTTGCTGCTGGTGCTCCCATCTTTTCCAAATGGTGCCAACCCTTTGCTTTAGCGAGTTCTCTATACTCTCCGCCGGACGGCCATCCCAGCCATCTGTATAAGGTTCTGCCGGCCCCAGATACCCTTGGCACCCTCTTCCAGGTGCCCAAATTCTACTCCATGGCAAATGCATTCCATTCCAAGTCCCTCCTCTTCTCAGAAGTCTTTCCCACACCCTGTAACTCCTAACAAATGCCAGTTCAGCCCGGGCCAGAAAAGGGTGGGCATAGATGTGGCTGAAGCCCTTGTCTTCCAGGCTCTGCTGGAGATGCGAGAAGGGGAACACTTACTTTGGATTGGGAACGTGTGGGAGTCTCGATCCAGATCCTCTTTCTGTACTTAAGAGCTGGTTATTTGGGGCAGGATACTCTACCTGTGTCTCAGTTTTCTTGTCTGTAAAATGGTAACGGTCTCAGTTACTTGGACGGGTGTTGTAGAGTAGGTGAGATCATTGACACATGGTGTCTAACACAATACCAAAGAGGAGGTACTCCATAAACATATAGAGTAAATAATACTAGCAATGTCAAGTTCCCGGCCCCCTCAATTTCTGACTGTGCAACTTTGAACAAATTCCTTGTGTCTTCATTTGTACTGTCATCTATGAAGTGAAGATTGTATTTCATCCAAGGATTCAATAAATAATTATGGAGCAACTTACGACGTGCTGGGCATTACTAAACCTGTCATCTACTGGTAGTTCATCCTAGGTAGTCAATAACTGTCAGTTTTCTTATATAAGTCACAGCTGGACAGTGGGAGATAGAGGGGTTGGCGCAGAGGAAGGGGACTCAGGAGGGGAACGGCGGAAGGCTAGGCCTGCCTCACTTTCCCAGCTTCCTTCCTACCCTTTCCCTCTTCTGTCAGTACAGCCTCACTTTGCCTCTGTGGGGGTGGGGTGGTGGATGGTGCTGGGATCTCTAAATCGTTTTCTGTCCTTTCTGCCTCTTGGTCCCATCAGAGCGCATGTATAGACTGGATCACCTGTCCGTTGCCTATAAAATGGAGATAGTGATATCTCTTTATTCTCAGACACCGGGGGCACTGCCACAATGTCCACCTCATTCAGAGTGGTCTCCTCACCAAGCTTTTCTGCAGCTTCATGCTCCTGGCTCCTCTCCCAGGGACCAGAGTCTGGACACAACATCACCCCTGGCTCCTTCATCCTGAGGCCTCACACCCTTCCCTTTGCCTTTGCCCAGCCCCCAGCCACACCATACCAGATCCCCACAGGGGCTTGTGTGTATGCGTGTGCATAAGCAGCGTGAGATTGGACACATGTGAGATCTACAATAAAATTGGATTGAACGAACCCGCGATGAATGCCCCCTCTGCAAGTGGGGCTCATTCATGATCCATTCGGTGCCAAGCTCTGTGTCAAGGGCCACGGCATCGGTGTCACTAATTGCCAAGCTCTATAAAGACTGAACATCATTCACACTCTCAGCACCTCCCTGTCCTCACCAGGCCACCTGTCTCTCAGAACTCCAGCCCCCTCCCTCACCCCCAGAGGTCCCCCACCATGGATTTTGGCTGCTGCACATGTTGGAATGACAAGTCACTGACTTTGGGGTCAAAGCCTGGTGCCATCACTCACCCCGTGCCCTCAGGCAAGTCATTTAACTTCTCAGAGTTTCATGGCTCTCATCTGGAAAATAGGCATGCATCAAATTGCTTATCTCATGTTTGCTGTGGGGAATAAATGAGATAAGGCATATGCTTAGAACACTGGCCGGGCACATAGTACATGCTCAGTGAACGTGAGCTATTTATGACAGTTAGGACTCCTCCTGCTCACAAGCCCGCTTCCCTCCCCCTCTGCCACAAGCCTGAGCACACAGTCGGTGGTCGGTAAAACAAGATTTCCCAGAAATAGGGAGATCTGATGGACATACTGGGTGAGGAGAGCCAGAAACTGCCAGAGGTTCGTAGAGGGAGAGGGATTTGCCCATGGAGGAGCAGGCAGGTCTGGAGGAGGATCTCGGGGACAGCTGTTTCTGTCTGAAGGACAGGGAGCTTGTGGCTCATGTCTTCCACAGCTCCACAGCTCTGATGGCCACAGTTCTTTCCTTGGGTGGCCACATTCTGTGTTTCAAGTCACAAGCAAGCCACGAGGAGACCATGCCACTCTAAGGGAGGCCCACGCGGGTATAGCATAATTACAAGAGGAGTCAATGACTTCTTTGGCCTTCCAGAACCTCTACCCATTTTCCTCTTCCAGGGACCCCTTGTACTTTTGGCCCATTTGAGGCAAGTAGCCGGGCAGCGGGGCAGGGAACAGCTGACAGATGTCAGCCATGCCCACATGGATTCCCAGAGCCAGAGTGGATGGCTGCATATGTAGCGGTGGGGAGGGGGGCGGGCTTCTGGGAGAGGCCAATTCCTTGTCCAGGGCTCTCTCGGAGATCTCTGGCTCTGGGCCTCCATTTCTTCCTCAGTGAAATGGGGACCATTCTGTAGGTTTCTTTACCCTGGCTGTTGTTAAGACCAGAAACAATCTGGCCATCAGAGAGGAAAAACAAGTCTGGAGGTAGAAGTGGATGTCTTCCCTCAGAGCGAGGTGAGTCCAGACCTGGGAAGGGACTGCCTGGCCTGCCCCATCCCCATGGTCAGACAGGGCAGGCCCCAGCTGGCTCCTTCCTCAGGGGAGCCCCTAGCATCCATCCTCTGAGCCACGTCCCATCACTGAACCCCCCAAGAGTGGCCTTGGACTGACAGAGGGGCTCAGACCCCTAACTCTCAGGCTGGCCCCGGCAGTTAGCATGCCCCCCCCCCAGCCCACCCATGGATTTCCACCCCAGAAGCTGCACCGTGGCTAGCTCTTCAGGGCTCTGACTCCTGACCTCAGCCCAGGCCTGAAGGGAGATCCCCACCCTGCAGTCCAACACATCCTTGGCCCGGCCTGTGTCATGGTAATAGCACCCTCGGCCTCTGTTCCAGACTGGTCTGCACCATCTTTCTGTCTCCCCTCTGCTAGGCTCAGGCAGGGGCAGTCTCCCCAGAGACCCCTCCCAATGGGTCCTGGTGGGCTGTAACTCTGTCTTAACTGAAATGGGCAGCAGGGAGGCCCTCCGAGGAATGACATCCTTGCTGTGCCTCGACCAACACTTCCCTGCTCTGAGGGAGGGTCGGTGGATGGAGCTGCAGCCATCCCGGCCTCAAGCTGCCTTGAGGGGGAGGGGGCAGGCAAGGCAAAGCAGTGGCCCAGGGACAGCTCCCAGTTGGGGGTGTGTGTGGCTCCTTTCCCCACACCCCTCAATGCTCCTCTCCCTGGAAAACACTGGAAACCAGGTTGGGAGTCACATTGATCACAGTGCATGTCCAGTCCTATTTCTTATCTTGTCAAAGGCCCACGGCAGCCAGTGAGGTAGGTGAAGACTAGCAGCCCCATTTTCTAGACGAGGTAGATAGGCTCACAGTGGTAAATGGACTTGCTCAAGGTCACAAAGCTGCAAGAGAGCAAAGCCAGGGTCAGCCTGGAAACCACACACTCACGGGAGGCGGGGTGGCACAGGCTCTGTGACTTCGGGCCAGTTACTTAACATCTCTGAATCTCAGTCTTTTCATCTGAAAACTGGGGACAGTAAGAGTTCCTCTCTTATCAGGTTATTGGGAAGATCAAATGAGATAATGTTCAGATAACTCAGTATAGCAGCGGCAAAGACCTGCCCAATAACGGTGAGCAGGGATTGTGATTATTGGCTCAAGGATAGGCAGGTGCTGTCTCTGTGGAGACCGCGCCCTAGTTGAAGCCCCAGATGTAGGTTCCCATCTTGTCTCTGCTGGTGGCCCTCGAGACCCGTTAAAGTGGGTTCAGGTCCTTGTGTGAAGAAGCAGGGGCCTCGTAAGGCCTTTGGATTCCTCTCTGGGTCTGCCTCCTTGGAGAAGTTCAGGTGCCTGCCATGAGCCCTTGTTCACAGCCCCCCAGTGGCTGCTGCCTGCTTTCTCACATGGGCCTCAGGTCTACACTGGGCCTACTCAGGCCACACTAGGCACTGGCTGGGGCTCTGCCCTGAATCTTCTGTCCCTAGAGGACAAAGCTGAGGATGGGGGCTAGAAGGATTGGGGGTGGTCGAGTCTCCCCAAACAAGCCTCCACCTAACCTAGCCTGGTCCTCCAGGGTCTGGGGAAGCTCAAGCTCCCCAGCATGGAGGCCGGCCCATGTGAGCAGCTTGCTCCTGCTCTGTGTCCTCGGTAACCCTGAGATGGAAGGGGGTAGGGTAGGGTTATGGATCTCCAGGTAAGTTTGCCTTCGGAAAGGAGAGGCAAAAGTCTGCCCTGGAGCAGAAAACATGGGGGGAGGTGGATGTAAATGATCTTGAGCCTGGCTGGGGTGACCCCACTGCTAGGCCCTCAGTCCTGCCATCAGACCAATGGTTAACCCTGACCTTGGACTCTGCTCCTTGCAAGCTTGCCACCTGCTGATAAATCCCCTCCAGGACAGGGCCAGCGCCAGGGCCAGAGCCAGCAGCCAGAGCCAGTATGCTCAGGAACCTGTGAGAGGAATTCCACCGAATTTACATACTTTAGAACACCCCTTCCAGGAGCCCTGTGATGAGAAGGAAGGGAAGGTGCTTCTGGCCACACCCTCTGGGACCTAGATGGTGAGGAGGCACCTCTGTGTCTAAGATGAGCTCTGAGAAAGCTCTGGGGCCTTTGGGGCTAGATACTTAGCATTTTAAAATTTTATTATGACTGCATTTGTTTAAATATATATATATGTATATATATATATATATTTATAGCTCTATGTACCCACCACCCCCGGGCCCCTCCCCAGCCCCTAGTTTTTCCCCTTGGCTTTCTGTTTGGCAGCCGTGTAGGGCAGCAACGTCTGAGTGCTCTTGTCTGACACCGTCTGGGTGCTGCTGTTCCTTGTGACCCTTCGGGTCTGCTCGGGGGCCAAGGTGGGGCCTGGGCGGCGGCCAGTCAATGGAGAGCGCCTTGGCTTATAGGGAGCGGGAGAGGGCTTGAGGGGGCCCACATGGGCCTCTGGACGGGGCGGCTCTGGGGATAGGCCCACCTCCTCCTCCGCCACCACCTCCTCGCCGTCCCCTTCCTCGTCATCACAGCACAGAGCATGGTAGAGCACTTTGTCACTGAACCGCACCCTCTCGCGCGTGCCCGGGGTCCGCTGGGGCAGCTGGCCCTTTGCAGGGCCAGCACTGAAGGCCTCCTCGCTGGAGGAGTCCGGGGTCTCCACCCGAGGCCCATTGGGGATGGGCGTGCCGCCATTCATGAACCGGTAGTCAGGGCCAGCCCCGGGCCGGGTCAGCTCAGGGCCGTCCACGGAGTCTGAGGGCGTGGATGCGTCCAGGAAGGAGCAGAACTCCCAGCTGTCTGAAAGGATGTCCGCCGTCATGAAGTCCAGGTGCCCCAGGTCGAAGGGGCCGCCCACGCCCGCCTTGTCGCTGCTGGAGGTGCTGCTCACAGTGGCCGTGGTCCAGTCATCTGGCTCCAGTTCAAAGTCGAAGTCTGAGGTTAGCTTATCAATCTGGCTCACCACCTGGCCGGGGAAGGAGAGAGGGGTGAGGGGGCCTAGCATCACATGGGTGCAAGCATGTCCCCGTCCCACCCTGCTAGATGCCTGGCTGATGACCCCAGAGGATGGTCACGGGTTTGTCCACCTGTTGAGGGCCCATGTTGAACCAGGGTGAGCAGGTTTGGGCCATTTCCTACTCCTCAGTCCCTCCTTCCGGCCCTGCACCCTCACACCCCTCTCCCCTAAAGCCAGCTGCTGCTCTAGGCACAGCCCTGGTGCTCAGAGCTCATTTTCCTTAGATCGAGAGGTAGCTGTTCACACAGGGCTGACCTTCCAGCAAGGCCACTCAGTGGAGAGATGAGCAGACCACGCACCTTTGGAAAAGAAATGATACGGGGTGACTATGAGGAAGACTCTGCCCCCGTTTTCCAAACTCTCCTGGACCAGCCTGTGCTGCTGCTCAGTGACTGTCCCCGTGGGTCTCCTCCATCGCACCCCCACAAACCCCAGAGCCTCCTCCCTCCTTCCCCCGCCCTGCGCCCTGATGAGTGGAGATCAACCCTGGCTGCTGGAGAAGGAATAACACAAGCACCATTTGGTAAGCAGTAAGGAAACCCCCCTCTCAGACCCAGAAATGCTTGTTACAAGCACTCAGGGGGCAGCTTGGCTGCCAAGCTCACGGCACCCAACTCACCCCATGTGAAGGGACACCCTGCCTCAGGACGTCCCCTCGCCTAGGCCCTGCAGCACAGAAACTGGGATGAAGACAGTGAGGGGTAAAGGGAGACCCCATCAGAGATGTCGGAAGAGGACCGAGTAAGAGAAGGAGAAATGATTCTGACCAAAACTGAAAACAGCCAAACAATAATAGCCAAGTAGAGACCAAGAGACCCAAATGACCCAAGGACAGGACATACACAGTGAGTCACTGAGCCCAGGGTCCAGTCCCAGGCACCTCCCTGGGGCCTTTTCCCAGGGTCAGAGCAGTCTGTTACTGAACGAACTAAGGAAATCCCTAGTCTAATGGATGTTTATGAGGATGACTGCTGCCCAGGGATGTGCTAAGTGGTCGGTGAGGGGTGGGGTAGGGAGTCCCCAATGTGCAAGATGAAAACAAAGCCAAAAATCATGGGCTGAGGTGTTTGGGGCAGCGGGAAGTTGACTTGGTCAGGAGTTGGGGCGGGGGAGTGGTTTCTGATGGTGACCTGGTCCGTCATTTTCCCTCTGAGGCTCAGTTTCTCAATCTGCAAATGGGGAGGTTGGGTGAATGGTTTATTTCCAAGGTCCCTTCCATCTCTGACATTCTAGAACTCTGTGTTTATAGGGATGACTTGAGAAGCTGTTTTGGGGTGTCCATGCCTAGGATATCCACTCCTCATGGCCCCAGGCCCCAGGGGTGGCAGGGACACTTGGCTGAAACCTTCAGACTAGGGGAGTTAGGACACTTGGATTTCATATTTAACTTGGACATTGTTCTGTGTGTCTTTGGGTAAGTCACATAACCTCTCTGGACCTCAACCATTCAAGTGTGATGACCCCAGCCCTGCCATCCTCACCAGGGCTTCATGTTTAGCAATGAGGAGGGCTGTGAAAAGTCTCCCTGGGGCACTGATTAGAACAGTGTCATCATCTCCCATCTCTGAGCACCTACTAAGTTTAAGACTTCCACATGAGATCATCCTCTCCTGAGCTTCTAGAAGATACACCACAGGCACAAGTAACTGGGGGGAGGGGGGGCTGCAATTCCCAGCCCGTCCTGCTGCTCCCCTGCAAGGTTGCACACCACTGTGAGGTGCTGCTGTGATTTCTGGGCTTGGGCAATGGGGACAGGGCCCCATTCTCCAATCTGGCCACCCCTTCTTACGCCCCCCACCCCCAAGTGACTCCCTCTCCCTCAGAGAAGCTCACATCCCCTAGAAGCCCTTGCTCAGCCCGAGCCCCACTTGAGGGCTGGGAGCCCCGGCCCAGAGCAAGGGGCTCGCACACTGGAGTGTGCTCCAGCCCACCCCCTAGAGTTTCTAATTCAGTAGGTCCTGGGGTTGGGGTGGGGGACTTGAGAAGGCACATACCCAACCTTCCAGGGGCTAATCCAGGGGCATACTTTGAGAACCACTGGCCTGACGCCTGGGATGGCAAAGACACAGAACCTCAGAGTGCTGCCAGCCTGAGGGGAGGCCCTGTGTCTCTGAGACAGCCACACCCTCAAATGAGACCTTGACCAAGTTGAGCCTGAGTCTGCTGTTGCACAGGGTGGGGACACAGCTAATAGGAATCTGGTTGAGTGACAGGCTGTGACCACACAGGGTCGGCTGAGGCCAGGCTGGGCCCAGAAGCAGAGCTCCTAATGCCCTGTGAGGAAGACCACACAGGTCAGGGATCTCTAAAGGGGGAGGATCTCTAAAGCTGTCAGGCCTGGACACTCTCCTTCCCACCCAAGAAGTCCCTGCTGGCCACCTGCTCAGGCAGCCTTCCCATTCAGCCCCTTCCCCTTCTCCATCAGAACACCCTTCTCTGGTTTCATCCCCATGGTGTGGAGGGATGGGACAGAGGGGGACTAGCAGTCACGACAAGGAGGCCACGCCTCAGCTAAGGAACTTGAAGCACGTGATTTTCCCTCTCCAGTCTCCGTGTCCTCACTGGAAAGTGGGATGAAACTCCTCTCCTCACCAGGGTGACGGGGCCTCACTAGATATGGGTGTGGTTTAAAACACAGAATTGGCACCACCAAGCACTTAAGAACCTGGGCTCTGGAGTCAGACTTAGGGTTCGACCCTGGCCTCACCGCTGACAGGCTGTGTGACCTTAGCCAAGTTACCCAGCGTCCCTGTGCCTAAGTGTCTTCATGAAGGGGAATTTGAGTTGTACCTATTTGATAGGGCCATCGGGAGGATTTAATGACACGATGCACGGGAAGCAGGTAGAACAACACAGACTAGATCAGTACCCACCGTGCACCCATCGGTGCTCCTATGGGACCAGGCGCCTGCACCAGGCCCAAGAGCGGGTGGGAGTTTCCAGTGCCTGTGGCAGAATAATGGGATGTGTTGGGCATTTCAAATCCTAGCACATGGGGGGGTACCTATGTTCCCTCAAGTAGGTCTGTCTCCAGACAGAGCAGAAGGAAGCAGAAGAGAGTCTTATGGCCAAGAGGTAATGAAGCTCAAAGGCAAATCTGGCCCCGAGCCTGAAGGACAGGCAGAGCTACTTGCTGAATGACATAAGTGAGGATCAGAAAGGGGAGTCATGTGCCCAGTGTACCCAAATGGTAGGCAGGGCCCCTCTACCTCACTTCATGGGGTCCGTGGGGATGGCAGAGGGCAGGCAATCCCCACCTTACCTGCCTGTCTGCTTTGGATGCCTTGAAATCTGTGATTTCTCTCTGAGATTTAATGATCATTTTGCCTGCATGTAATTTGGGATTGTCTTGGAGTGCAGGGAAATAATTATATATACAGAAGGACAGAGAGCGAGAGAAGAGAGAATGGAGAGAGAAATGACAACATAAAAATCAGAGCATCATGGAACCTCAAAGCCAGAGGGACTGGAAACTTTGCTGACTTCAGCCCCTCACTGTGCTTGTTGATGGGGACACTAAGGTAAGGCCCAGACACTGGAAGGAGCGGAGCAGAGACCACAAATCAGGAGTCCTGGCACCTTAAGAACAAGACTTGCCTGATCTGGAGGGAAGGGCAGCGTTGAGAGCCATGACAAACCTGCTGGGGGTTCCAGGCCCCACCCCGAGGGCGTCCCCAACTGCTGTCCTGCTCACAGCCTCAGCTCGCTCACCTGAACGACTGTCCCTGTCTGGTGGCAGCTTCCTGCCCCACTCCTGCTACATTTAAGGCACTTAGTAATCAGCCAATGGGACCATGTCACCCCTCCCCTTCCAGCACTTCCCTGCTCCCCAGACTCCTGAGCCTCTCGGAACGCAAACCCCCACCAACTCTGGCCTGGAGGGTCTTTGTCCTCCAGCAGGTGCTACCAGTCTGCCAGGCTTGCCTCCTCACCGGCTCTACACACTCCCCCGAGCCCGCTTCTGCCTCTGGGCCTCACCTGGAATGCTCCCTCCTTTGCTACTCATCCATCTCACTTCCAGAAGGAAGTCTTCTCTGACGCTCCATTGAGGACAGGTTCCCTATGACAGGCTCTCAAGGCACCCTGTGCTTTTCCTAAAAATATTTTCTGATATTTATCACTGCTATACTTTTATGTGCATGTATGTTATATGATTGATGTCCCCCCACCCCCGAGACAGTAAGCCCCCCGAGGGGTGGGACTGGGAACGTCTTGCCCACCATGGAAACCCCAGTTTGGCGCAGAGATTGGCACACTGTTGGCAAATACAGCCATTGATGAGTGGACGAGGTGAGACAGAGGGCTTAAAGAAATTGCTGGGGGAAAAAAACAAAAACAAAAACAAATAAACAAAAAAATTGCTGGGGGCTGCTCTTCTGAGAAGGAGTTCCACAGTTTTATCTCGCCTGCCCAGCCCTCCCTACAGTCCTGGCTGAGCCTCCATGCCAAGGAAAGCACATCTGTGTTCCTTAAGGCCCCAGAGTCAAGGCTGAGGACTCAGGACTCCCAGCGCCTCTGGTATCTCCCTCACCTCTGGCCCCTTCACCTCCCTCGGCAAACTGCTACCTCCTCCTCTCCCTCCCAGCTCCCCAGGCAGCTGGTTACATAACTGGAGATCTGCATTATTTATGACCACTGATTATTTTTTAATTCTGTGATTATGTTATTTATTGTCTTGCGGGGGGGGGGTCCTGTAGAGCTGGGGAGGGGGGAGAGAGTTGACTGTGATTCATGACTCTCATCCTGCAATTTGGCCTAATTGGCCAGAGAGCTTCATGAATCTGTCCGAAGGAAGAGAATGCAAAGGGAAAAGGGAGGAAAGGAAGGTGAGGAAAAAAAATAAATAAATAAGAAGAAAAACTCTGCACAATTCTTGCTGAGCTGCGGGTGATGGAGCTGACCCACTTTGGCACAGCTCTGTGGTCCTCAGCCTCTCCTGCCCCAGCTGCTTCCTGGCCAGGCCACAACCATCTCGTGCCTGCAGAGCCCCTGGCTCTCCATGCCGCCCCAGAGGCAGCCCCTTGCCCAGGGGACTGCACAACTGCTAGCAGGCCTGTTCCCTGTGAAAATCAGGTGTGTGTGTGGGATCCTCCATGGCCACCCCAGGTGGGCAGGCATGCCAAGTTATGTCCCCCCATGGTGAACCTGAGGTTCATTTATGAGCCCCTATGCTGAGTGACATCTTGGGCAGGAGGAAGGGGAGGAACTCAGCATCTGGAGGGCAAGGATGAGGGCATTTGACCCTGACCTTCGGGGCCCCGCAGCTGGTGGGGAACCAGGAGAGCAGTGGGGAGGCAGATTCCCATCCAGAACCACAAGTAGGAGGTTGCTGGAGAGCATGTGGTGTTCTCATGGAGGGTATATCTGAATTTCATACCATGGTCTACAAGATTCTGTGTAATTGGACTCCCTGCTCTCTCTTTGACCTTTCTTTCTTCCTGCTTTTCTCCTCCTGGTTCACCCCACTCCAGCTGTCCTGGCTTCCTTCTTGCTGATCTCGAACATGCCAAGTACACTTCCACACTTCCTCCTCAGGACCTTTGTATGAGCTGCACCCACTGCCTGGAAAGCTCTTCTGGATATCTATCCGTCTTGTACCCTTTGGGTCTCTCTTCCAAAGGCATCTCATTGGAGACCCCGTTCCCCCATCACTGTCACTCTGTACCCCTTTCCATACTGGAAGAGGGTGGCACTGTCTATCGCAGGAGAGGCTGAAGGGTACCAGCCAGGAGGCCAGGTGCCTGGCTCGGACCACTCCGATCATGGCTAAGAAGCTCATAGGACTCCAAAAGAACAAGGCCACACATGGAGTAAGGAGCCGGCGAGTGCCAGAATGTCTCATTAATAATATCAAAAGGATGTGGAGCTAGTTTTGTGTCCATCTCTGTGCTAAGTACTTTATACACGGTAGCACAATTAATTCTTACAACAGCCTGGGGCTGGTCGCGGAGGCATAACATTCAGTATCCTCGTTTGCCAGAAAACAGAAGCCCAGAAAGGTGAAGTAACTTGACCAAGTCCACACAGCTAGGAAGGGAGCGGAGCTTGGATTTGAACCAGAGACCTCTGGCTCCAAGAGCCCGTGCTCTTAGCCTCTGGACCGTGCTGCATCTCTGAGTTAAGATGCATGGAATTTTGTGTAGCTTCGAGAGCCTGCTGGGATTGGCCTGGCATCCTGGAGTATTGGGGAACCTAGGAGAATGAGGGCTAATTAATGATCGACTGTCACATCCCTCTGCGGCAGTTTCAGCTTTCAAAGCACTTTTGCATTCCTCACCTCTCTTAGTCCATTAAAGAACTTTACCCACCCATGGGACGGACCTCGCTTCCTATCACATGGGGGAGCCCAGTGAGAGCTGGAGCAAGGGTCTGGGAGGGCGGGGGAGCTTTGGGAGAGGGAACTCCAAAACCTTTAGGAACTCCAAAACCCCCTTACCACATACCAAGTCCCAGAGAAATCCTTGTAAGAGCATCCTGAGATGGGGAAGATTGGCATCCCCATTTCAGAGATGAGGAGACAGAGGCTCAGGGTCTGGGGGAGGAAGTGCTTTAGTGTCTGTCGTCTTTCTGTGAATTTCAGGCTGTATGGTCCAGGGGACAAGGAGAGTTAGCCCTGATCAGTGGTGTCTGAAGTAGAGCAGCAGGACGAAGAGGATGGACCTGCTCCTTCAATCAAGCGTCCTGTGGTCTCCCCCAGCAGTCTTGCATGCGAATCTTGCCTTTATATCTAAGTGTTTTGCTGTCCTGAGATGGGAACTCAGCTCAGTGAGCCCTGAGCTGGTCGTGTCTGGGGAAGGGGGTATAATGAACAAACAAGCACCTGCCTCCACCCTCTGGATCTTGGGTCTACCCATGCCCCGGATGGGTATGGGTAGACCCAAAGGGACTGAGAAGAGCCAGGTAGATCCTGCTTTAGAAGCCCCCTTGGAGGATCAAGAACCAAGATCACAGGTTCCAGGGAACAAAGGGCTGTAACCCCATATGCCAAACCAAGGCATGGCATCCCCATTGAGTAGCCCCATTCCTGACAAATCCCATCCCACGGGAAGTCAGCTAGGGTGTCTCCTCTTCTGCCTGGGCCTCCCGGAGCCTCATCTGCCTTCCTCAACACTCCCTTTGGCCCATCACCCCGTGTCCAGACCCTGCCTGGGGGGTGGGGGAGTTCTGAGGCCTGCCCCCCTCCCAGATGGGTGCCATTGGCAGCAGGCAGGCAGTGGCATACGGGGTAGATGCTGGTTGCCGTAGCAACCTGCCAAAGTCTTGGGTGGAGGCACATGGCCTCCGGGGTATATAGGGGGAGGGAATGCATCTCTCTCTGTCCTGGCTGAGGCCTTTGGGCTGCACAGCCTGTGGACCTGAGGCTCTGCTGTTCGAGACGTGGGGGTGGGTGAGTGTATGTGCTGAGAAGAGAGAGAGGGAACATCTAAAAATCTGCAAATAAATCCTAGTACTTCTGGTGTCCCTGCCTTGTCCCCAGAAGGGCGCCCCCCTCAGGGCATCATGGCATGAGCATAAGATAGCATCTCTAGAAGATCCCGTCAAAATGCAAAAAGGTCGCTGGCTGGCCCACCTGCTCTAGCCTCAGAAGAGGCAACAGGAACCTAAGTTCTAGTTAGTTCTGTCCCTGGTAGGCTGTGTGAGCTTGGATAAGGCCCTAGCCCTCTCTGGGCCTCAGTTTCTTCAAACAGAAAATGGACAGGGCTGGTATGGATGACCTATGGATGACCTGGAGGACTATGCCTGGGGGGACAGGGGAGGTGGATCTGGGAATATGCTCCATTGAGAGTAGGTTCTGTGCTGTCTGATTTCCAGGCTTAGAGTCAGTCCTGGCTCTTTTCTGGGTGGGCTCTTTCCTGGCATAGGTCCCATACCCTTGCCCAAGACCGAGACTCTGGATGGTTCCCATCGCCCTGATGGACCCACAGAGGGTCTAGAAAAAGATGGGCCAGGGAGGGACAAAGAGGTGTTTTGTTCTTTGGACCAGTGAGGTAGGGAGAGGAGGGGTCGCTTGGGGGCATCTGACTTTCACCACAAGGCTGATTCTGGGCTGAATGGCTGCCCTACCCCACCTCAGGTCATGTCCCAGCCTCTCCACAAGCCCTCTGCTCTGGATACAGCTCCCTGCAAACATCTCCTGCTCCTTGGCCCTCAGGCCAGGCTGCAGCTGGCACCTGCCATCACCCCTTCTTCTCAACCCTCCTAGAGCCCCCATCCTCCCACACAGCTGGCTGGGGAGAGCAGGAACCCATAACTCCCGTTAAATCACTCTTTCTGCCATCTCTGCAGGGGCCCTGGTTATAGGGAGGTGAAATTTGCCTGAAGCCCACCTGGCTGGCATAATGGCACCCAGTGGGCAAATTCAGGCCAGTCGCTCAGAACGCTGGTCATGCATTTTGGGCTTGAACACAGCCCAGGGGGCAGGGCTGAGGACATGTGTACCTCATTACCCCAGCGATGTGGGAAGCAGTAATTAAACCGGGCTCCACTTAGAGAGACAGAGAGGGACACACGTCTCAGGATTTCTCAGTGACTTTTCAGCCTTGGCAGAAACATTCAGAACTCTGGACAGGGATGCACGCATGTAGATAAGATTCCTGCCCCCAACCCCCAGCCAAAGTACACAGGAACCCTGGTACCCACTAGCAGCCCCTTGGATGCATTCCCATCTCAGGGCAGGGAGCACATAGCTGCTTCAATTTTTCCAGGATCAAGGGTTCTGAGTAGCCTGAGTGTGACTTCTGGAGAACGCTCTGAGCTAGGCCTTCTCAGTAGGGCCATCAACACTCTCCCAGAACCGTTTCTGAGCAGGTCAGAGTCTGGGAGGCAGATGGCGGGGTCAGAAGCCAGCTTGGGCCCCAGGAGAGTGTCTCCCACTAAGAGGCTACGGTGGGATTTAGTCTATATTTATCACCCCGGCAGCCCCGAGTGCTAACCACAGAACCCTGGGCCCATGACATGTTGCCCATACTGGCTCTGCCACCTCAGGGCCTTGCTAGTCCTGGAGTATGCTGAGGTCCCTAGCAAAGCAGATTTGGGGGAAAGGAGAACAAGGAAAAGGAAGTACCCAGCAAAGTGACACGTGTGCATGCAGCTTTGAGTACACACACACACAAATGGAAACACATATGTGTGTTTTTGTGCCAGGCCCGGGAAAACTGGTCTGGGGGGCTGTCTGGCCCCTCACTCACCTCCCTTAGCTCCTTGGCCACCTCCTTGAGTTCCTGCAGGATGCCCTCAAGCTGCCCAATGACCATCTTCATGCGCTGTCGGATCCGCTCCCGCTGGCCACCACTGCTGGGGTCGTCACTGGGCTGCCCGAGGTCTGGGGCGCCCCGAATGTTCATCCTTTACCACGTCGCTGCAGGCCTGCCCATATTCCCCCCAGCCGGGCGCACGCTGCGTCTGCCACCACGGAGCCCCCCTCGGCCAGGCAGAGCTCCACATCTTAACGGCCCCCCAGCCCACCCTGGCCCTGGGTGGCCCTCACCCAGTCCCTGGCCCCTGCCACCCCCCCCTCCTCTGCCTCTGGGTGGGGAATGGGACACCCAGAGGAAGACAGAGTCTGACGGAGGGGGTCAAGGTGAGGACACAGGAGGACAGGGGGAGGGGCCTTGGGTCTCAGGAGTGGCAGCCAGGACTTGGAGTGCCTGTGCCTGGGCTGAGCTGATCTCTGGCTGAGCCTGGACACCGAGGCAGGGGGATGACTCTGCAGGGACTAAGGGTAAGAGATGCCCTTGGGATGGGGGAAGGCAGCAGGAATCCCTCACAACTCCTAGGAGGTTGCAAAGGCAGAGGTCTCCGGGTGCAACTGACACCTGCAGAGGGACGGTGGCTGGGGTCTTCCAGATGTGGTTGTGGTGGGGGCTCCAGATGTGGGCAGCTCTGAAAAGGGAGCTGGTTGGAGAAGGGCAGCCCCCTGCAGAAAGAGCAAGCCTGGCGTCAGCCCTCCCAGGCTGCACCACCAGCCGGCAAGCAATGCCGCTGCCTCCCTCCTCTCGCCAGCCTGCACCCTTCGTCGCTGGGGATTTTTTTTTCCTTTGTGGGGAGGGGTGATGGAGGCAGATTATCTACAGCATAGCCCTTCCTCTGGAAGGAAATGAAGGAGTCCCTGCTTTAAAGGCAGAAGTCCTCAGCCTGCTACGGGGCACCCTGCCCCAGCTCCCCCAGTCCCCCGTGCCTCCACCCCTCAACCAGGCCCGGTCCCGCTGGTTCACGAGAGGGCCTCTCCAGTCCTCCGTCCTCCGTCCTCCCTCCCAGTGCCCCCAGGGTGCCCTCACTCCCAGCGGACCCTCCCTTCCCCAGCCCCGCCTTCCCTCTGAACCCCCGCTCTGCTCCCGGACTCACCAATCGTGGGGGCACCGGCCTTCCTTCCCAGCAGCGTCGGGGGCCAAGCCCCAAGAGGAGGTTGGGGGGCCCCCAAGGCTCCCTAGGGCGGGCTTCTCTCTCTGGACCCTTCGGCCCCCGGCCACAGGGAGGTCCTCAGAGCCGCCTTGGGAGACATCTGGACGGTGGGAGGGGGCGGGGCCTCCGCGCTCCAAGGAAGGGGGCAGGAAAAATCTCCCCCAACCCCCGCCGGGCTCCGGGTCGGGAACCAGAGAGGGTCCGGCGGGCTCGGGGCTCCGAGGCCACAGGTGACCCGGGCGCCGGGCGACCGAGGCGACGCCGGGCCGGTCCCAGCGTGTGAGCCAAAGTCGGAGGGATCGGAGGGCGCCGGGATCCCCTCAGCCCACGCCCGGGATCCCCCGGGCTCCGCACAGTCCGGGATTTGCTCTGTCCAGTCCAGATCGGCCGGCTCCGGGCTCCGCCGGGGTCTGCCTGCCCTGTTGGGAGTGAGCGGGCACCACTGGGCGCCCGGGGCGCGCTCAACCCGGACCCAGAAGGTCCGCACTCCGACACCCGCGGCTCCGGAGCGGCCGCGAGAGTCCGCTCAGCCCGGCCCCGCTGTCCGCCGGGGGCGAGAAGGCTCCCACCGCTCAGTCTGCGGTCGGAAAGGTCCGGAAGCCGCCGGGCCCGGGGGGAGGGGCGGCGGCGGCCGCGGGGACCGGGTCCCCGCGGGGCCGGGCAGAGAGCGCGAGAGGCAGGGGGCCCGGCGCGGCTGGGTTCGGCGGCCCGGGCGCGGGCGGGAGCGGCGCCGGGCGGAGCAGAGGAGGCGAGGAGAGCGAGAGGAGGAGGAGGCGAGGCGCAGGGAAGGGAGGGGAGGGGGCGCACGGGGCTCGCAGCCTCGGCTCCGCTCCCGCCGCCCCCCCGGCCCGCTCCCGCTCCGCTCGCCGCCTCGCCAGCCACCCGGCGCCGGGTCGCTGCCGGTGGGGCAGACCGGCGCGGGGTCGGGGCTGGGCCTCCCTCCGCTGCCTCGCCCTGCCCTGCCCCGCCCGGGCTCCGCGGGCCTGGGCCCGCTCCCGGAGCGCCAAGCCGCCAAGACGCCCGCGCCCCGGCCGCCCCCGGCCCGCCCCGCCGCCCCCCGCCGGACTGGCCGCCCGGGCGGGCGCTGGCTCCCTCAAAGGCCGCCCGGCTCGCTCGGCTCGGCTCGCTCGGCGCTGTCAGAGAAGGGGCCGGCCCTGCGCGCCGGGAGGGAGCTTTTAAAGCGACACACACGCCGCCCAGCGCCGAGCGCTGAGCGCGCGAGCCGGGGGGTTTGGCTGCGGGGGGGGACCGCGAGGGTCCTACGCCTGCGGGACTGGAGGCGCACTAGCCGGGCGGGGACTCCGTCCGACCTCCGGGCGCGGAGGGACAGCGGTCTGGGGACTTAGTTCTTCCCGCCTTTCCAGGCACCCCTATCGCCCCTTCACCCACTGCGGTGCACCCCAAACCTCTCTTCTGGCGAAGTTTTCCTCGCCCAGATCTTCCCCATTTCCCCTCATCATATCTCAGCCTCCCCCAGACCTTGCTTTGAAGCAGATTAATTCAGAAAATAGAATACAATCTTTACTGAGCACCTACTGTGTGCCAAGCTCTAAGGTAGGTAGAGCTGGGAGTTGGAGGCCCTGGTGACAGGTGTGCGTTAGACATAGATAATTTCTTCAGTTACTCGTCCATTTACTCAACATTTATTCAGCACCTTCTGTGTACCAGACCCCATGCTAGACTCTGGGGTCCTAGATAGGAAGACAGCATTTCAGGAAGCTCACAGCTCCTGGAGAAGTTGGGGCGGTAAATTGCAGGACAAAGGCAAGTTCTTTAAGAAATGCTAAGGGATTGGGGAGGGCGGGGAGCAACCCAGGTCAGGGGCTGGCAGGCTCTCCCAGGAGGCAACCCCTGAGCTGCTTCTGGAAGGAGAAGTAGGAGTTACCCACGTGACTGTCAGTGTGGGGGAGATGGGGATGAGCACTCCTGGGGAGAGGGGGAAGGGTTAGAGCAGCGGCTCAGAGGCAGAAGTGAGGGGAGAGGGAGTCTGAACCAACTGTGCGCTTTAAAGGGATACCTATTTGACAGCTCTGTGGAAAGTGGATTAGAGGGAGACCAGATCTCTGAGGGGCTTGGAGGCCACAGTTAGGTGCTTGGATTTTCTCCTGGGGCAGAGGGGTGGGATGATGTCAGAGGGGAACTTGGACTTGCTTGCCTTCTCAAGAGATTCCTCTGTGGCCTTGCCGATGGGGGAGCTGAGGGCTAGGCCACAGGGAGACCAGTTAGGAGGCTGTTGTAAGAATCCAGCTGAGGGGGGGGGCGGAGTGGGAGCAGAGACGGAGAGGAGGGGAAGCTTTAAGAAAAAATTTAGGAAAATAGGACAGGATTTAGGGCTGAACTTTGAGAGAGAGGGAGAGCCCAAGATGCCTCTTTGAGCTTATGGCTTATAGCTTGGGAGGCTGCGCGCATGGTTATGCGCACAGTTTTGCTGGAGAACCATGGGGAAGAATGGGTCTGGGGTGAAGATGAGGGGTCCAGTTTGGGACAGGGGGAGGTACCCTGAGGACAACTGATTATATGGTTCTATGGCTGGCCTTGGGAGGTGTGTTGTGTTGTATTTTAAATTGAATTGTCATTCGGGAGGATGAGATTAAGCAGGATGATTGTGTAGACTAGCACCCAAAGCGGGAAGTCGAGGCTGGAATTTTGGAAAAGAGTCCATGAGTGAGATGGAGCAGGAACGGTCAGGGAGGTAGGAGAAGAACCAAGAGAACGGGGCGTCTTGTGGGCCCAGGAGGACAGGGTTTGAAGGAAGGCATGTTCAGCCATGTCAAAGGCTGTGCAGAGCTGCTGGGAGAGGTGGAATGCAAGGAGCCCACTGGCCTTGGGACTTAGGAGACCACAGGTGATGGGCTTTTTTCGGGAGGGAGGAGAAGGAAGGTGGCAGGAGCCATATCATGGGGCATTGGGTGCTGAATGTTAGTGAGGAATAGAAGTGAGTCTAACTGACACTATGAAAAATTCAGTTGACAGGGAGGTAGAGATCTGGAACTAGAGGTGGAGGAAGGATCAAGAGAGATGGAGCTAGATGGTGGTTTTGAGCCTGACCCGCGTGAGGGGACTGAATTCTGGGGCCAGCGGTGTGCTGCGGCCAGTAATGGCTTCATCAATTCTCCAGTCTCTCTCAGAGGGGTGTGTACAGGGGTCTTCCAGAGGCCCCGGGTCCTCCAGAAGCCGTAAGGGTGGGGGTCCAGTTTGCCTCGGGTCGGGGGGGAGATATTCTCCTGGGGATGTGGTGAGATCAGAAGCCCCACCCATCGTCATTTTTTAAAAAAATTGTGGTAAGATGCACATAAAATTTACCTTCTTCACCATTTTTAAGTGTGCAGTTCTGTGGTATTAAGTACATTCACAGTGTCAGGCAATCACCAACACCATCAATCTCCAGAACTCTTTCCATCTTGAGAAACTGAAACTCTGAATCCAGCCGGTGATAGCTGTCCATTCTTTGTCTCCCCCACCCCTTGGCAAGCATCATTCTGTTTTCTGTGTCCGTGAATGTCACTACTCTAGGCACTTCAGATAAGTGGATTCCTATAGTCCCACCAACCATTTCACAGAAGGTCTGATGCTAAGGCTAGCCAACATCAAAAACGGGCTGAGCCTGAGGAAATTGAAGGAGTTTCTATCCTTGGGTCCACGGGACCATCTGTGCACATGCAGGATGGGGGAGATGTGTTTGAACATGGGAGTTGTTAAGAGACAGTGAACTTGGTTTCAGAGGCTAAGATGGGACTGCTTAATACTTACTTGATTTGGGGTCTCATTCATAGAAGTGAGTTATTTAGGAAAAGGGAGGTGATATTTCTTCTGCTACCTGTGTGGATCAAAAGTCTGGGACCCCCATCCACTGGGTGGACACCCAAGAGGGCATCCAGAATGGAAAAGCAGAGGGACTGGTGTATATTATATGTCTTCTGAAGAAGGGGTAGGCTGATCAGAACAGACTAGAGAAGAGGCTTGTCAGAAGATATCTCTGATTATACATCTCCAAAGGGCTACCACAGGTGAGAGGGAATAACTAGGTTCTGGGTGGTCCTCAGGCCTGCTTTCCTTAGTGCTTGGAGACTGACCCATTCTCTCTTCCCTTCAACCTACTTGCCCAGATGTCCTGCTTAGATCCATATTCCCACCCTCTCCACCTCTAGACAGACTTCCCTAGTCCTTGGTTGGCAGAGAGAAACAGAAGAACTCTTTTGGCCCTTAACCAAATGTTTCCCAGGATGTTCATTTAATATGTTAGCTGTGTGACCCTGGGCAAGTCACTTAACCTCTCTGAGCCAGGATATCCTTATCCTTAGCCCATAAACATTTTTATTTTTCCCTATATTGGCTGCCTTGCCAAAAGGGGGGAGGGGAGTTATTTTCTAATGTCTCTTTGACTCAGAAAAATAGGGATGATAACAGTACCTACTTTCCAGGTAGGTCATTGTGGGCTTGGAATAAAATAATGCATCTGGAAGCACTTGGCCCAATGCCTGGTACCTGGTAGATGATCCATGGATGATAGTTGCTATCAGCTCTTATTAATGGCTTTGAGAGGCTCTGACCTCCCCAAGATGGTGTCTGTGTCGTGTCTGCCCCTGTCTCTTGCATGGACCAATGTAATGGACTGTGACAGTTAGTGACTTTTATCTCTTTAGTCTGTTTTCCATCATCCCACTTCTGGCATCCCTTTCCTTTGGGAAACTCCCCCTGTTGTCACAGAGACCTAGTGGGTTGTCCATTGCTGTGCTGACTTATCCTACCGCGTTGCCAGCAAGTGACCTGAAATGCACATATCATCGAACCTCATCCTCTGTCTAGCACCAGTGACTGGCCCAAGGCGTGGGCACACTACCCAAGCAAAACCTGGATCTTTCCCTGGAATTGATATGTGGATACTGCGGGGAGGGAAGCCTCCTTACTGGGCTATAGATGTTACTGACAGTCAGCTCTCCCACTAATTGGAGAAGCCAATCAGGGCAACAGAGGGGAGGGGAGTTTAGAAGGCATGCTAGTGGCACTGAGACCCAGTCTTGGCTCTTATGGCCTGGAAGTCTTTCTTTCAGTCCTGGGAGCAGCAACCACATGCTACCCATCTCGAAGAGCCAATAAATGCCTTTCTTGCTCCAACTTCTTTGGCTGGGTTTCTATCTCATACAACCAATGGGAACCTGACAAATACGCTCAGGGAATATTAACAAACAGATGACTGA